CAGTCTGAAATTGAATTTATTTCAATCCTATAAGGATCCGTAAATAATTCACTAGCTGGTTTTTTGAAGCTTAAGAGAGAGTTTATTGCATGTGAAATCGTATTTATTGGAGAGAGACATAGCTTCTCCTACAACTCTTAAGGATACCCTAACAACTTCTGAGATTAAGATTATGTTTCTATAATTCAGCTAGCAAGGTAGTTTTTCAAACCTAGAGAGTAAAAATATCAATTATTGTTATTAAAATGAAATTTCTAGCAGTATATTCGCCCAGGAACTTATATGTCAATAATGGTCGATCAATTCGATCCAGTCAGCGACGGAAAACTATGAGGTATAACATCAAACCGCATACCTAAGCAGATAGAGTATATGTCATGACGTGGCAGCCTATTGGATAATGCTCTGGCGTTTGCAGCGATGTGCACTGAGTTCGATTCCCAATGGGAAGAAACATCATTCACGTGGAGGCAGGTACATTCAACTGACGTGCCTCGAATCGGAAGAAATGAGACCTCTAGATTTTGCTGTAAGCTGTTACATATCATTACTGCGAAACTGAAAAAATGCCACCTGGAAAGACTTCAAGGCATTGCTAATAGCTGATTGGCACCAGTTGAAGTACCATTGAAAACCTGTGAGTACGGGACAGATTTTTCGTCTTAGTGTGAGACTGGTCAACAGTACTCACCCAAAATACCTTGAGAGATCCAGCTCAGGACCGTCAAGTCTCAAGACAAGTGCCTTATAATCCAGCCTTTGGGTTAAAATTCAATATTCTAAAGGCCCCTCCTTCAGTCTATTCGTAGTATGATGAGTTTGTCATTCAATCTCACTAGAGAATATCTTTCATCAAATCCAACTTAGTTGACTTCACAAGTTACAGTTTTGATCCAAACTTCCAGAAGTCCATCTCCAAGATAGTCACTGACTGGTATCAGATAGCAACTCGATAGGTGATTTGTAAAGACTGAATGATTGATTACAAACAAATAAGTTATCATCACCAACTCACATCCTTTGCAAACCCAATGAAGACTTAAATATTTACTGCAAAAGAGTTTCAAACTAGGACGAAAGAACTGTTCAGTGAACCAAAGTTGTGAAAGTTTTTTTAGCTGATATTAATGTACGAAAAAATTATTAAGAAACCAATCATACCCCATAAACTATCCGATAGACAGGATATCATTTGATGAAACTAACTTCTAACTGACTATATGTAACCCTATAGACCTAAGGTGTAACTAATGTCTTGAAGATGCGTAGTGTTAATTATACTCAAGGTAGTGGTGCGTAAATTTACTTTTCCATACTCCTAGTTGTCGTCAATTTCTTGTGGTTTGGTTGATGCAGCTTCACATATTTCGAGTGACATTCATTCCAGGTTAGAAGATTAGTTTTCTGTCTATATTTCCCAATTTCTAAAGTTCCTGATCTTGACCAACCTCGCCTGGTTAACTAGTTCACTGGTTACTAGCCAGTCCTAACCACGGATAAATAGGGAAGCTTGCACATAGGGCTAGCAAACCTACACCGGAAGACAAATCTAACCGCTAAAGAAACTTCAAAGCACTAAGAAAATACACAAAATAAAAGCAAACTTATTCCTCACTGAAATCGGAGAGACGAAATGACGTCGGTTGGTGAAAGCCTTCAGGAAGCCAGTTGGTCGATGTGTCTTCTCTTCTCTCGATGAAAGCAAAAGTAAGCATGGGGACATGGAATGTTCACACAATGTTTGAAGCTGGCTCGCTGGCATGGCTGACCAGATTGCTAACGAGATGAGGAGGTATGGCATAGAAGTGCCAGACTAAGAATCAGCGAGGGATAAGCAGATGGAGTGGAAGTGGACTCTGGAAACTGTCAACTGGAAAGGAGTCAATAAACTACCCCGATATTGTCACCCAGATGACAATCACGAGCACACTGGGTTTCGGAGTGGCTATCATGATGTCCCCTTGAAGAGCATCAAAGGCTCTCTCTCATGCAGTGGGAACAGCGTGAACAGTATCTGGATAGTTAAGAGACTTGGCTCATTACGAAAAGTATTTCCAACAAACTTCTGACAATCATCAACTGCTGCCACCTACGATCACTCGATACTGAAGATAAGATGGCAAGAATAATAAGAATGAGCAACAAGGAGCTCTGGCTGGCAGTCAACGAATCACCCAAGAACCCATCGCCCAAAAACTATGCATCAGAAAGTGGAGGTAGATTGAACATACTCTTAGAAGTGCGATTGTGGACATCACGTGCAAGGCCAGGCCAGGCCAGGCTAGGCCAGGCCGTCGAGTGGAATCTAAGGGGGAGACTACGAGTTGGGCGTCCGAGGTGAGGGTGACATGGAGGAGATTATGTGAGGAAGAAATGCAATTCTGTGGGTAGTCGGTCGAGGCGCCATTTTGAAAATACTGCAGAGAACAGGGTGCAGTGGCGACGTGCTCCTGAAGCTGTATGTTCCACTAGGAATTCAAAGGAAAAATTAAAATAATAGTGATACTGACCAGACCACCTCAAACCCTGATACTTTTTCCTAGTCTTGTTTAAAAGTTTTACTTAGGTCATTTGATTTAGCATTTCGAATTGCTGCACAGATTTCATTCAAGAAGTTAGAATATTTACCATGGTAATCTACTTGGCTGTGGCTAACAGAGGAGTCCAGGATGAGCGTTTTGTCTTGTCTGGGACTCGTTAGGTGGATATACCTGTACCCCTGTGAGTGATATTGTTCCCACTGAGACTCAAACCTAGCGCCCACCAATTGAAAAGCCAAAGCGTTACCCACTGGACCACTAAGGCAAGGTGCCCGCCTCTCATAACTAATACCCGTTTTGCAAGATATGGTTGTTTCGCCTCAGTGGCCTAGTGGATAACGCTTCGACGTTTGAAGTGACAGGTATGAGGTTCGAGTCTCCATGGTAGCAACATCATTCACGCGGGTTCAGGTACATCCACCTTAAGAGTCCTAGACGAGATAAAACGCTCATTGTGGACCCCTCTGCTAGCCACAACGAAATAAATATTCAGGCGATATCGAGGCATTGGCGTAATAGCCCATATGCTAACGGAGGTTGAACGCTTCAATCCAGTACAGCAATGGAAAATTACAGGTACATCAACAAATGTTTACAAAAAGGTAGACTTCACTTAAACAAGGAAACATAACACGAAGTTGACTTTTTTCGTTCCATTTATGAACCAGGACATGTTTTGTACATCTACTGACTACTAATGAAAATATTCACAATCTACTAAAGAATTTCCTTTTTATTGGCAACTAGAAAGAAACCAATCATAATCAACGTTGTTTGGATGCAGAAATTTTCCAGTTGTAGAACAATCATAAATCCTTTTTTTTTTGTAAAACTTGCAGATGAAAGATTTATTCATTATGACATTTAAAAAGGTTGCATCGAACCGTATAAATATGACAAAGACTTCCTAGAAGTATACTACTAAATGAATTAAGTAGTTATGAACCATTTCTGTTGACCTGTGAATTTCACAAGCGAAATCGCACTGACCTAGTCACATAACAGTGTGTTGTTCATTTCCCACTGAGTTTATCCGTAGTGCTCCTGAACACATTCACTTCACGTGAATGAATTATTCAGATCAACCGTCATAAACTAACTGATAAATATACAAGTTGTTTACAAATGGGACTAGTCACTTTGACTCCTCAAATAAAATCTATACATTATGCAGATAGTGTTGTCTAACCACTAGTACTGTTCATTAGTAGTATACTAAATCGGTAAGTGACATTTTTGTATCAGAGATTGCTATCTATGATTTTAGTTGAATGACTCTCAAAGCAAACCATGTTAGAATCATGACCATGTATTTGATATGAAACTGTCCAGCTGTAAGAAATGTTAACGAGAACCTTGGAGTAGGTAAATAATTTGTGAATTGGCCATCTATTTCAGAGTTCCAAGAAATATATGAAAATTACTTTAGATTTAACTATATCTTAGGCTTAAATTTACAAACTGAATAGATCAGTAATGCAGTTTGTAGGTTAATGGGGACTTATTGATTCCAACGGGGTTTACATCATGGACTGACTTCACTTGGAGAACCATTGAAAACCTTGGAACACTGATCAGTCGTCTCATCCTTGTATGAGACCTCGTGGCATTGTGCATTCATCACTGCGTCAGGGATCGAATTAAGGACGTTCAGGTACCACCGGCTCACTGGTGACCTACTTACCCCGGGAACTGAAGGTCCTATGTTTGACCTGCGATGAAGTCATAGGTTCACGGTGCTGAGGAGTCCCATAATGAGATGAAACAGACGTCCAATGCTCCCAGGTTTTCAAAGGTTCTCCAACTGTTGTCAATCCTTGATGAATATCACAGTGAACAGATCAGCTTTCGGTTTCTTTTCTGTACTTTTCTTTACAAATAAGGTAAGCAGCTGGAACTGAACTTTTTTGACGAATAAAATTTTTTATCGTGAAACAGTTTACAATGGAAACTACTCCACCCTCAAAAGGAGTTGTGACTCATTGGTGAAGGAAGACAACGTTCAACCGACGGGCCACAGATTTGAACTCCACCCCATCTATTATGGTTTGGGCAACCGAGTTGTATCATAAGCCCTCACACACTAGGTGTGGCTCACTGCCTACTGCTCGAATGTACACAAGGTAGCTGAGCGATATATATATATATATATATATATATATATATATATTACTCTTCCTTCATGTTATTGAATAGATTTTATGTGTGTACATACACATGCACATTTTCTTCAGCATCTCGTACTTCCTCAGGGATTACTTTGACAACATAGTGTTATTTATGAAAACAAAAAAGTTAACTTGAAGTCTATTTACAAAAAAGTAACGGATGAAGAAATGTTGACAAAGCTGGACAAACAAGTATACGGATGGAAAAAGTAGGTAAAGCTGCATTAGGAATGGACTATTTCAGGAGTAATTTTTTGTGCAACACTAATGGAAGTACATATTGTAGACTTACTTTTGTATCAACCAAAGATTGCAAAGTTTGAGTTTGTCGTGTATCATGTCTCAGAGTTTCACACTCTTGTCTAAGTTGTCTATGCTCTTGCAACAGGCCATCAAAATCCTAAATAGCGAAAAGGGGAAAGAGGGAAAATTATATAGATTTACAATAAATATGATTACGTGAACTTGAAGTGGTTAGAGTTGATAATAAGAAAAGGAGTATAAGTGTTCAAATTACACAACCGAAAGCAGTTTTAAGTATGAATGCATTGAAGAATTTATTTCTCTGGAAATACTGAACAAAGCGCTTTTTCACTCGGAGAGGATAGTATAAACAATCATTTTTGAATAAAAGGGAAGTAACAACTTGTTTATTGTCCCTCTTCATGTTATTTTCAACCGCGTCGAATGTTCTATGCACCCATACGAACAGAAATTTGAATTGAATAGCTAGTTTCAAGAAGTTTTTAAAGGTTTACTCCTGTAGTTTCGTCTGTGAGACGACTTTCCTGTCTGACCTGTTTGTATGCATAGGTAAATCACTTCAATGTTCTAAAAAGCCTTTGAAGAATTCTTACATAGTATGCCTCATGGCATTATGCTCTGTGGAGGGAAAAGTGTGACCTTTCCATTGTCTTCCTTTCTGTATCTTTGGCTTTATTGAACTGAAAAATCCCCTGTCAGATACTGAAGGAAAATACGAACATATTATGCATCATCATTGAATAAGACTAAGTTTTAGTCGAACTTCACTTCGTAGATAAATTTATTTATGCCTGATAAATGATTGGATTTGGACATACCAGATTCTAAGTCATGCAAAACCATAGTCTAGTCAACATTGCATGAGTTAATCTCTCTACCGTATTCTCCTTGATATGAATCACTAAAAATGTGATTGAACTGGTCACTAAAGTAGATAAGAGCTTGGGAATGTTCTCTAGTTATTCAGAAATTGGATGGGACATATCAATTCGCAAGTTAACATTCAAGGCTACATTTGATGTAAAGGTGCATATTTCGCTACGTGGATTGCCAAACCGAAGAAAGCAGATTGTATTTGAAACGGTTGTTCAATGGACGCTGGTCAAACGTATTAACTACTGAACAAACACTCCATCTAGGCATCATCTTAATAAGACTCATTTTTCAAATACTCTTCTGATGTAGCAGGTACTGATTCAGACATCATATATACAAAGCTGACGATATTGTCCAGCTATTGCAAAAGAGTTTGTGAGTGTGAACGGTAGCCCTCAACTAAAGGACTACAATTAGGATAGTTTGGTTCTTAGGCTAACAGCCTGAAGACTTTTCATTTAGATTCTAATGAAGCATAGATTCTCATGTACCTCTGTTCAATTAAAAGCTGATTGTTAGTATGTTAAGAAACCTTCAGAACTAACATAGCTATAAAAATTACCTATTGTGACGTGTTTATTTTTTTTCGTGAGACTATTCACTTCATTATCAAGTGAATACCGATGAATTCGTCTAGCTTGATGACGGAACATCCAAGAAACAAACTCAAAGTTCGAAAAGCGCCAAACAATTATCACTGTTTACTTCAAGACGCTTTGTAATCGGACAGCAGAAGTGATGGGTGAAGTAGTTTCATATGAAATTTTGATTTAAAAGTAATCTAATCTTGCCAATAACTAATTTTCACTTGTTTACAACAAAGACCGTACAACTCACAGTAGCACCCTACCACTGCTGCAGTAGATATTGAACTGGTTGTTCTCATTACATACCGTTTGCAAACTTTATTGGAAACTTTATACGAATACTCAAGATGTACTATGATTAATCAGAAAAGGATTGCCATATCATGCAAAGAGTTTTGCTGACACCTGACAGGAACACCAACTGGTCTAATTCTCATGCCTGTTGAAATATGTCAGTAAGGAAACTCATACTTTTTCTTCCTCACCCTCTCTTCCTCTGGAGAAGTCAAACCAACATCATTTAGCGCCAACGTTAAAGGTTTCATCATAAGGTAATTCAGATGACAAATGACCTTGGTTTTAGGACGGCACCAGATAAACTCAATAGTCACTAGATAGAAGTAAATGCCTTTCCTTTATTAACCCTAAGTTTTCACTAGAATCCATCGATCAAAAGATCGTCATTCAAATTTAATGCTACATTATCTTCCCAAATGAAGCTGAATTTGAATTAAACAACACTCATCTGATTAACTCATGCATGGGAATAAAAGTTTTGATAATTTTTTTTTATAGAACAAGAGAAGTGTTTTCATCAGATAGGTTAAACCGAATTAAAAATAACCGCAAGTATAGATATTGAAATCTGTGTAATTAGGAGTTCCCCTAAATGATTCCACTAATTTAATTATGCTTGCTTCGTTGGTGACAAACGAACGCAAATAACAATAAGTTGAAATTGAATTTGTGGAACGAACCATATCATTCTCTATTGTTTAATACAAACAAAATGGAATTGAATGTTCGGTTCGGTGCAGAATTATTTTTGAAGATTTCTTCTATCACTGATAAAAAGCATAGCTCAAATGGCCTGGTCGAAAACGCTTTGGCTTTCGGAGCAATACTTACTGGGTTCGAGTCTCAGGGGAAACAATAGCACTCACTGTGGTAGAGTTACATCAGTCTGGCCAGTCTCAGACAGGATGAAAAGCATGTATTAAATTCTGCTGCTATTCATTAAGATGAATGCAAAGCTGGAACTTCGCTGAAAAGTAGACAGTATTTGTTTGGAACATAAAAGTAGGGCATACTTTTTCCTCCATACTAGGATGACTTCTAAAATTTCATATTGTGTAACAAACAGAATGTTATCTAGTTATTGAAGTGCTTAGAATCCAGCCAATATTAACTCGAAAAATTTTTTTCTTCGAGACATCAGTGAACATTTGCATTGACGAAAGTTGAAGGAACCTAATCAGATCTTGTATATATATGCAAGGGGGGGGGGGATGAACAGTAGTTAGGAGTTCATATTAAGCAAATAATACATGTGAAATACTTTTTGTCGTATCATGAGTTTATGTTAATTGGCAGGGATAACTGTCACATATTTCTGAATATCAGGATAAGATTCTACTCTGCATATAGTAAAGCGTGAGAATTATTTTGTTTTGTAAAACTTAAGTATTTTTGCATTAAAAAAAACTGTTTTCTTATGTGAATAGTTATATTATTCCTTACTGACCTTTTGTTAATAAAGTGCTATTCATTTTAGTTTGCTTATTAGAAATGTCACGGTGAAACAGTACTCAATAAGTGATACTGTTCCACCATGTGACATTTTAAAAAAAACAGACTAAAACGCAACTATAATCTACCAAAGTGCCTCAGTTTTACTCCTATATTAAAGTGATGTTCCAAACCGCGAAATTCCATTTGAAAGAAGTATTTAACAGAAGCATTTTGTCAGTTTACGTCACAGCGTGTATCTTATTGAATTGTCTTGGTTGTATTGTGTTCTCTGAGCTGGGTTGTTTAAACAACAGCTCAGAGAACACAATACAATCAAAACTATCCACCTGAGCTACAAATATTCTCCATCATTATTGAAGTGTAAATTCCCCGATACGAAGCTTGTCTGTTTCAACCAGATGTATTGTGTACTGTGGTAATCGAAAATAAAGGAAATTCCAATATATTTTACCTGTAAATGCGTCTACCAATTTACATATACATGCTAAAGCACATATAGTAGAAGGATAAAGAGAAGGGGGTTTTGTTTGCATATGTTAAAATGTCTAGGACTAAAAGGTTCATAAGTACTGAACATCGCCTGTGTATCACCTGACTGATGCTCAACATGGTGTGAATGGCCTAAAATCGTTCAAAGTAATTCATACCTAAAAAAAAAGGTCTACTACGTTTTATCAATGGAAAAGTCATCAAAAGAAAAATCAAACCTAGGCAGCCTAAAGGATTCACTTACTAACCTTGCATTTCCCGATGATCGAAGTTTACAACATTAAGTTACTTCATTCTCCTTTTCAAAGCTGTTGTTATGCTTCTAAACTATATTTTGTTTTGAATGGCCACAGAGAGTTCAATTATTGGTTATATCTGTTTATTGTGAAGCCCCCGAATACTTGTTTCATTTTGATTTGCTAATTTTCCCCACATGAAGATCATACTAAGCTAATCGTCACCAGTTTTTTAGACTGTATCTGCAGACAGATGATTATTGATGGTCTTCCTCATATGAGCCGCACAGTAGAAAAATAACGACTCCCATCTGAAGTTTTAAACTCACATCGTTCACATCGTTTGTACTTCTTTGACTAACCTCGCCTGGTTAAATAGTTCACTAGTTACTAGCCGGTCCTAACCACGGATAAACAGGGAAGCTTGCACATAGGGCTAGCAAACCTACACCGGAAGACAAATCTAACCGCTAAAGAAACTTCAAAGCACTAAGAAAATACACAAAATAAAAGCAAACTTATTCCTCACTGAAATCGGAGAGACGAAATGACGTCGGTTGGTGAAAGCCTTCAGGAAGCCAGTTGGTCGATGTGTCTTCTCTTCTCTCGATGAAAGCAAAAGTAAGCATGGGGACATGGAATGTTCACACAATGTTTGAAGCTGGCTCGCTGGCATGGCTGACCAGATTGCTAACGAGATGAGGAGGTATGGCATAGAAGTGCCAGACTAAGAATCAGCGAGGGATAAGCAGATGGAGTGGAAGTGGACTCTGGAAACTGTCAACTGGAAAGGAGTCAATAAACTACCCCGATATTGTCACCCAGATGACAATCACGAGCACACTGGGTTTCGGAGTGGCTATCATGATGTCCCCTTGAAGAGCATCAAAGGCTCTCTCTCATGCAGTGGGAACAGCGTGAACAGTATCTGGATAGTTAAGAGACTTGGCTCATTACGAAAAGTATTTCCAACAAACTTCTGACAATCATCAACTGCTGCCACCTACGATCACTCGATACTGAAGATAAGATGGCAAGAATAATAAGAATGAGCAACAAGGAGCTCTGGCTGGCAGTCAACGAACCACTCAAGAACCCACCGCCCAACAACTATGCATCAGAAAGTGGAGGTAGATTGAACATACTCTTAGAAGTGCGATTGTGGACATCACGTGCAAGGCCAGGCCAGGCCAGGC